ATCTTCCACCCAACAAAAAAGCTATTGGGTGTAAATGGGTGTTCACTGTCAAAATGAATCCTGATGGTTCTGTTGCTCGTTTAAAGGCACGGTTAGTAGCTAAGGGTTATGCTCAGACATATGGTATAGATTACTTTGACACTTTCTCTCCTGTTGCCAAACTTACATCCATTCGATTGTTTATGTCTTTGGCTGCTACTTACAATTGGACACTCCATCAACTTGATATTAAAAATGCTTTTTTGAATGGTGACCTTAGTGAGGAAGTATACATGGAGCAACCACCGGGGTTTGTTGCTCAGGGGGAGTTTGGAAAGGTATGTAAATTAAGGAAATCGTTGTATGGTCTGAAACAATCCCCACGAGCTTGGTTTGGCCGTTTCAGTGCAACAATATTTAAATTTGGGCTACGCAGGAGTGCCTATGATCATTCAGTTTTCTTCTCTACCTCCAATTCTGGATGTATTCTATTAGTTGTGTATGTTGATGATATCGTGATCACTGGCAGTGATGCGGGTCGTATTTTGAAACTAAAATCTTTCCTGGCTACTTGCTTTCAGACCAAAGATCTTGGGCCTTTGAAGTACTTCTTAGGGATAGAAGTTTCACGTAGTAACAAGGGAACTTACTTGTCTCAAAGAAAATACTGCCTAGATGTTCTAAATGATGCAGGTTTGGTTGAGGCAAAACCTTGTGATGCTCCGATGATCCCAAATGTAAAGTTAACGGCTGATGAAGGTGACTTGCTCGAAAATCCTGAGCTATACCGAAGGATTGTTGGGAAACTGAATTATTTGACTATCACCCGACCTGACATTGCTTTCCCGGTAAGTGTGGTCAGTCAGTTTCTGTCCACTCCACGAACATCACACTGGGATGCAGTTACACATATCCTAAGATACTTGAAGGGGGCTCCAGGGCGTGGGATACTATATCAAAACCACGGACATCATGTTATTGAAGGGTTTACTGATGCGGACTATGCTGGAAAGCCTAATGACCGACATTCCACCACTGGTTACTGTGTGTTTGTTGGAGGAAACCTTGTATCTTGGAAGAGTAAGAAGCAAAATGTTGTCTCTAGATCAAGTGCAGAATCTGAATACCGAGCTATGGCACAGACGACATGTGAGCTGGTTTGGCTTCGGCATTTGCTTGGTGAACTTGGATTTGCTCAAACAGAACCAATGAGATTATGGTGTGATAACCAAGCAGCTATCCATATTGCAAATAATCCTGTTTTTCATGAAAGAACAAAGCATATCGAAGTTGATTGTCACTTTACTCGAGAAAAGGTGGAAGATGGTACAATTTGCACTCCACACATCAAAACAGGAAATCAACTGGCAGATGTGTTTACCAAGGCTCTACTGGGGACACGTATCAATTCCATTTGTACCAAGCTGGGCATGATTGATATCTATGCTCCAGCTTGAGGGGGAGTGTTAGAATATACATATTTAATGTTAGAATATACATATTTAATAGTCAATATATTCTATGTATATATTTGGTAGCTAATATATTCTCTGCGATAGACTAAATATTCTATGTAAATCTGGCAGATTTAGTTTCCTTTTGTATTCTCTAGCCTATATGTATATATACTGGCTCTACACAATGAATAAAAATATAGTGATTTCATTCCATCTTTTAAAACTTAAATCATTCTAACAAATGAAAAACCCTTAAGATCTAGAAAATAAGCATCACAACATGGGGAAGGAATATTTGAGGAAGTTAAAGAAAATTGATGTAGATGAAGAATTTAAAGAAGCTAAAAGATGAGCTACTTGATTTGCTTCTCTATAACAGTGAACGAAGGAGATTTGATGTTGAGATTGAAGTTCTTCAAACCGGTGGATTAATTGTTGGATTTCCAAGTCAACAACACATTGAGATGTCTTGAGAATCTTAATAGAAGCTAGTGAATCTGATTCTATTGTGAAATGAGAAAATCCCTTGGATGAAGCCCAGCTAACTGCATGAGTTAAGACAGCAACATGTGCCCCTAAAACTGAAGTAGCAATTAAGGGAAACGAAAATGCAAATAAAAGGACGCCTTGATGATTACGCATGATTGCCCCTCCAGCTTGGTTGTTAAGAGAGAATGCAGTATCCACGTTAAGTTCCAGACCTGAATAAGGTCTGATCCATTTGATGAGCTGAGGTAGTTTTTATGGGATTTCAGGGTTATAGTCCATCTCAAATAAGATCTGAAGTTGGAGTGGCATATTTAGTACAGTTCCTTGCTATCTCCCCAAATAAGATTAGAATAACATTTCCAAATGATCCATGATATGACCCCCGGAAGAATTTGTTCAGTATAAGGCCTTCAAGATTAGAAGTTGAAGTCTCTAGCCACCAAGAGAAGGATTTGCTTGTGAGAACAAATAAAGTGAGGAATAGGAACATGCATGATTCTCATAAAAATCTCCCATACTAGTTTAATAACAGAGCACTGCCAGAAGCAATGCTCTTCACTAACGGATGATTCTCTACAGAAAGGACACATTGAGGGAAGAATTTGATAAAGTCGGCATAGGTTGGGTGGTAAATGTAAAATCTTGTTAAGAGTCTTCCAAAGAAAGATAGATATAGATATTGAAATTTTGGATTACCATATGAGAAAAAGAGAAAGTGATAGCCTTTGCTTCTCCGCATTCTTCATAGGTAGAAGAAGAAATGGAGAATTGACCATTCTTGCTAGGAAGCCAAACATTTGAGTCATGGAGATCAGTTGCCGTGAGTAATATTCCCAAGTTGAGAGTATGGCAATGGCATATATTTTCTCTGTGTGTGTGCTTTTTTGAATAGTGCCATGATTGTTCTTTGACTTGTTTGGTTGCCAATCATATGCCTCAGTCACGACTCACGTGTTAGCCATTTAGGCTTGGCCGAAGCCTTAACTGACTCAGACTTCAGGCCCTAATATGAGATTTTTTTTTTTTAAAAAAGTGTCTAAAATAGGGCCCAACTGTGGTGCAAATGGTGCAGGTGATGGCTCAGGAATGGCAACTCCACAGGTAACCTCATTGCCAGGGCCTGGGATTGTGGATAAGACCACTTAAAACGCCAATGAAAACAAATGGTGATTACCATTTGCACCATTGACTACTCTGTATAAGACTCAAATTTTGTAAACTCTTAATATGAGACACATACAAACTCTCTGCCCAAACCAGGCTAGATAGTTTAAGGGTGAATTTAGAGGCTAAACTGACCCTAGATGGGCCGCAATATATTATGAGGTGCCAAATAAAACAAACAAACCACTTAACCACTTCTGGCCTTGTATCCATTTTTGTTAGAATTGCTGCCTAACCTGTGAAATAAATGTTCTCAACTTGTTGTAGCTTCATGATATATACCGCATGTTGGATTGTCAAACCGATAGAGAGCAGGAAGAGCATGGGGCGGGGACGGGCTTGGCCCCACTTCTGTGGGCCGGTTATGGACTGGGATTATAGTTTTATTTATTATTATAAAGTTTATGTTATTTTTTTAGTATTTAGTAGAGTTAGTATGGGCTTAACTAGGATTTAATTAATTTGGGCTCGATTAGGGTTTCTGTTAAGTCTTTTACTAGAAGGCTATTTATACCCCTTGCCAGGGTTCATTCTTGCTTATCTTGGAATAAAGTTGGATTTCAGCCTTTTGGCACTGGGCAACGATTTCTCATTGATTATCTGGGCAACGGTTTACCCCATTGATTTTTATTTTTCTGTTCTCAATACAAACTGGTAAAATCACACCTAGATTGCAAGAGTGTACGACTTTTTGAACTGTACACGTCGAATATTTTGCGACACAACAACTTACGTGCGAGAAGATAACTCGCTGAGATGTCTGTTATAAATCAAAGCCTCTTCTAAATCATCCAACAACAATAACATCCACGCCTTAGCCCCAAAACACTTTAGGGTTGGCTAACATGAACATATACTAGATATCGGAGGCAAAAAGAAAAGAAAGATAAGGTATGATAAAAAAGATTTTAAAAAAAAAAGATAAGATAAAAACCCTTCTAAATCATCCATACTAATATTTTTATTTTTTTACTTGTTTGGAACCCATATTATGAAACTCTAGGGTTTAGAAACACTAGGGTCTAGCCCATTAAACTTAGGACCGTTGTTTTGCAGTGAAAGCAGTGCACTGGCCTTCAGAAAAATGAAGTTGGAAGGATTGAGTTACTTATAAATGAGTCATATTATTGGTTAATGGTTATTACTGATGCAACACTGTTCTTCAAAATCTTGTTTAGTGATCACTTTCCCATAACTTTACCTAATGAAATGCTACACAAATGAAAGAAAGTTTAAATACAGAGTTGCAATTGAAGCATGTACTAATGAGGGAAAGACAAATACATGGCAGACTGGAAAAAGCAAAAGAAACGACAAGAGAAAATTACTAGGAGTATGACCAAACCAAGTTGTGGTTCCTAAAATATGACTCGACATGTTTTTATTCTTAAACTCATGGTGTTTTGCATGTATAGTATGTTTTTTGGTGCTCCTTTTTCTTCCTCCAATTAAATTATTACTCATTTATAACCACATTTCACTGTGTCATTCACATATTAGGAATCTATGAATATTAGTCACATATTGATAAATTTCCAAAACAACAATGCATGTAGGAAAAAACTGAATATCATTGAAAGTCACCACACACCCATCTGAATTTTGCAAATCAAAAGATCTTGAAAACCAAACAGATGACTTCCTCTCACCACTCACTAACAATCTTGTAATTGGTTATTACACTCTCCTGTCTCTGTTTAAGCTACAACCAAATGGTATTCTTGATGTAAAAATGCATACCAAGTTCCTGATGAAAAAATGCGCTTATGTAGAAACAGAAACAAAATTTAATAATTGCTGGACACATTGACCATAGCCAAATTAACTCGAAGCAGAGTTCATAGAATAAAACACATCAAGTACTGCAGATAGAACAGTGACCCATTAACTATGATGTAGATCACCGCATACCTTTGTGTGATCATGGTCAGAGGCAGCAAGAACCATTGCTTGCGATTTAATACCCCTCATGGTTGCTGGCTTGAGGTTGCATAGAACACAGACTTTACGATTCTGACAAAGATATCACTTTGAAATGAAACTCTGTAAATGTGGTTGAAATAGCAAGCATAGAAGAAGTAAGAAAAACCTGCATCTCTTCAAGTGGAATGTATTTGACCAAGCCACTAACAACAGTCCTTGGTTGTGCTTCACCAACATCAATCTCTTCTACGTATAAAGAATCAGCATCAGGGTGCTTTTGGGCTTTCTTGATAAGACCAACACGGATATCTAGTCTGCCAATGGACACTTCTAGTTCACCAGAGGCAGCCGATGTGGCCTTGGATTTGGCTTCAGCTGATTTTGTTGATCTTACCTTCTTCGTTTTTTCATCTTAAAAAGAAAACAGCAATACAAATAGAAAGTTTATAATCTTGCCTTTGTATAGCAATAGCCACTCATAAGAAACTCAAATAAATTGCTACATATATCTAACTATAGAAGATGTTCAAGGCGGGCATGGTTGTGGTCCACAACTTGTGGAAACTGGATGGAGATCAGTGCCCAGAGCACTTAGCCTGTGTCTAGGAGCCATAACCTTATAATGCCTCTGTTCCAAAATAACCTTCTATCCTTAAATATTTTCAGCATTAAATGCATCTTTTTTTTTCAAGGCACAAAATAATTTAATGTTTGGAGACTTCATATGGGCTAATTTGGGAGCTTTGTATAATTATAAAAATTTTTGGCACAGAAATATTTCATCAATAGCTTATTATTAAGGTTAGGAGTCTATTATATAGACCTTACATGATAGAGTCGCAAAAAAAAAGGCCACTATCAAATGATACCAAACTCCTAATAATACTCCAAACACATACTATAGAGTCTTGGTAATACTTCCTCAATTCCCTCGAAAGCTGAACTGTTCAGGTTGTATAATCCAAGTGATGGAAAGCAAGTAAGCTTAGAGAGAAAAGGTACTGAAATTTGCCGCGAAAAAACAAATCTCAAAGTGAAAACGTCTTTCTACATATCAGGAGTAATTATAGTAAGTAGATAACTAGAAGACTAAGCTCTCTAAGAGCCAATGAAAAGAGTACATGTGTCCTTTGGTATCTTGGGGATCACGCCTAGTGAAGTAAGCATGATGCTGGCGGTGAGTGTAGAGATATCAGCCCTGGTATTTGTAAATGGTGATGTCAGTGGGAAGTATCGTTAAAAGCCCTGTGGTGCAGTCCTGGGTTGCCAGATTTCGACTAAGTGTAGAATCAGTGGCGGAGGCCAAGGCAGAAGCAGATTCCTTCAGTCTCGTCCTGAAGAGTCGCAAAGGCCGAGGCAGAAGCTAGTTTCCTCGGCCTCATCCATCTAGTGCAACCCGATCTACACGGGCTTCTTAGCTGGAATATACCAAGCGTTAAATCTACCCCGGCCTCGACTGAGTGCTTTGGCCTCATCAGTTGAGCCAATTAGGCTTCTTCTGTAAATTGCTTCTTTGGACCATGAGATATTTGACAATTTACTACATCATGAGTCCTCACTTGACGCGAGAACTCTTAGAGGTGAGAGGGGGTAATACAAATGTATCTGTGATGTTGTGTCCATCGTGTGTGCTTCCGTGGCCAGGAATACTTCCATCCTTGCTCACGATGAGGTGATGCTTTGTTAAAAACTCCACCAGGAAAAAACTCAGTGTAAAAAAGTGGGAAAAATCCTAGCGAAGGAAAAAGAGTACAACCGACCTTGAAACGGGTTCAGGAATGGAGAGTACTCTCCTGCCGTCATGAATGCTATTTGGGGATCATGGGTTGGATGAGTGAAATTTCTTTTCCTGCATGTTACTTGTAACCTGCTTTGCCCAAGACTGAGGGTCAGTATATTGTATGATTTCCCAGGTTTCAGGTGACCTGTCAAGCAAGTGAATTTCCGAGTTGGATTGGTGCTTCTGGGTAGATTTTTCGGAGTCTGGATATTTCTGAGTTGAGAAATCAGGCTGAGCCGAGGTGAACTCCTAGAACCTGTACAGATTTTTGAGTCCTCCATTCACTGGTCCCTTGCTTTTTAAGCTCAAAATCAGAAAATCTTTGGCACATGGCAAAATTTTTGGGGCTTTCAGAATATAACCATTTTTTATTGTGTTGGGAACTGTTGTGACCTAATGCGTCATCCCATCACAAGAGCCAGACCTTTGGATTTCTAACAAGCGTGGCGGCTGGACAATTCTCTGCTTGACACATGTTTATTGTTGTCTGCTGCTTGTTACTATAGTGTTTGTGTATGTCTTCTTTGCTCGTAGCCTCTCATCTTCAGTTTTCCAAGATAGTATACCTCTATTGTTTCTTGTTTGATTTCTATTCTCAAATTACTGGGTTTCTTTCCCAAGGGTTTCATCACTTAGGTGAGGTCTCAGGCTTCAATTTTGTCATTTTGCCTTCTAGAAGCCCAAAGACTGATTTTTCAGTCGAGTTTCTAGGTGGTTGCTCTTGGTGGTCATCGTATTCTCCATGGTGTTCATCAAGAATGGCCGTTAAGCCTTTTTTTGTCGCCTACCTTCAAATCTTGTGTTTTAGACCTCATTATCCCATCTTCTGACCTTCATTCTTTTATCCCTTAGACTTTTATCATGTCTCCTGCATCATCTGCTTATATGGTTGCTCTCTGAGAGGACTCGAGGAGGGTCTACCAATCGGCTATGATGACGAGCAACCAGAGAGGGATGCTGATCCTGCCAACTCTGCCGTGCCACTCTATGTGCACCAGCCGAGCCTTCTATTAGTTGGTCTCAGAAGAAGAGGACTATGGAGAGCTGCAGGCCTCGGCCCATCATGCTAGTGTCTATATTGTGTGAGCTTTCCAGCGAGGATTGACTTCGGGCTCATTTACTGGCCCGTCCCGATGTCAACATCATGCGTCTGAAGGCAACTATGAACATTACCGTCTCTCCTTCGGCCTACTCCGGTGTGCATCTCCAAGCGCTCAAGCTCGACTTCAAGTTTCCACTGCAGCCACTCATAGTGAAGTATTTCACCTAGGTCACCCTCCTGCTGTGCAAAATGTCCCCCGGCGGGCTACAGCATGGTCGGGTACCTGCTCCGGTGCAAGGAGGCCAAAGTACCGGCAAGCGTTGAGCTCTTTTGGTACATGTATAACACTAGCAAAAGTGGGAGAAACGATTCCTCATCATAAACCATGATCTCTCAAGTTGGCCAGAGGCGGCGGAGAGGACAGCTACAGGACGACGGTGAGAGTCTCTGTAGTAGGGCGGCAGCGGTGGAAGGATGCGCGACAGAGGCGGCGCCTGGTGCGCACTAGCCACTAGGAGGCAGCGGCGACATCTGGTGCGCTGCTGGAGGCAACGGCGTCAACAGGATTCACGGAGTAGGGAGGCGTCAACTGCTTGTGGTTGACCGGCGAGAGAATAAATGGGGCCGAAGTCTGAAGAGCTCCTGGTTGTCCGTCCACAGCAAGAGAGCAGATTGAAGGGGCAGGTTATATCAAGATGGATAGATGTGTCTTTCATTATTATTTAATCATTTTTTTGTCCTATTTTAAATGTGGTCATTTATTTGTCCAATCCAACCTCATTAGTAATATTGGTGTCATTTTCTCAAAAAAATATTAGCTAATGATAATTAATTTTGGGCAGGAGGGAGTAATATATACTTCCTTTTATCAAGGAATTGCCCCTGCTTCACCAACGGGTCCAGCTACAACAACTATCATAAACCAAGGTATCCCAGGTCTTTGGACAGCAGCTACCAGCGAAATGGAGAATATAGACCCAAAGCAGGTAATTGCTATTACCATCTTGAGTCTCGTTACTCGCGTAGTGCCAGATTTGGTCATTCAAGCAGGAATTGGAAACGGGATTATCTCAGGCTCCATGCACATCACACCCTGCGTCCCTCTTCTACATACCCAAAGGCAGGCCAAAATCACAGCAACTACCTGAATACAAGGCCACTCCTTCTGGAACATCGACGAGATGCTCGTCAACTGCAGGAAAGGGCTCACCCTCATCACTCACCCTTCACACTTATTACAGGGGACACGGAGGATGGTTGGCGCACGGTCAACAGGGGACGGCGCCACCCCCATCTCCTCAATCAACGCCTCCCAACGCACCGGAACTTAGTCACACCACTAATCAGTATCATCTCATAGGATTTGACGATTCTGAAACTCCTATCTCAGCGCAACCCTTCGGATTCGATTTTGAATCAGAAATCTCGCCCAACCTCAACAGTGAACGTCGCACGAGAGAAACCAATAACAACCATGGGAGAAGATTCATAACCGATGGTCGGAGAATCTCTAGAGACCGTCAACAGTGCGACGATGGGAAGACAGATTTCGATGTTGGGAAGAAAGCATCAGGTTCTGGTTCCGGCAATCGAAGACCGGCGAACTCCAAGCCGGTAGCCCCCCCCCCCCCCCAACCCACTTTTTGAAATCTGGACCCACTGCCGACAAACTCTCTCCCATACCGGGGGCTCCACTCGACGAGAGACATGTAGAGGAGACGCACACCTCTGGTAACGCACAGGTATTCACATGCGCAGACATAGTTCGTTTCGATGCAGACAAAAAACACCTCAGTGGCATTTCAATCTCAGGCCAAAAGAGAGAAACAAATTATTGTCAAAGCTTTGGATATTACTAATACCGATCCGATTGAAATAATCGAGGATGCGCAAGATGCCTCTGAAAATTTCTCTTTCTTTGGGGAGGAAGGATTTGACTCGGTCAAAATCGAATCTAAAATATTCAGATTCGCGGTGAAAAATAGCGATTTGGTGCTTTTCGAAATTAACAAATCCCAGTTGCTCAAATTGGAAGTAGATCTTGACCTCGCTCCCCGAATTATCTGGCCCATATCTCAGTTCATAAATTTGGATCAGCCAAGTTTTAAACAACATAAGCGATTTGGAGATATCACAGTTTCTTTAGAAACAAACAAATCAGGTTGCTACGTGAAAATTGCCAAATACTCCCTCCGTAACTTTAGAATCTTCCCATTTCAAAAGTAGGTAGATTAAGAATAGTGAAAGATGATATGAATTATTGAGGGTATGATGGGAAAATAGTGGAATAATGTGGTGGAATGTAGGATAAATCCAAAAAAAGTAGTTGTAATAGTGTATTATTTTAAGAATTATTGAGGGTATGATGAGAAGATTTAGAAATGGGAAGATTTTTGTGTTACGGACGAAAAAGGAAAGTGGGAAGATTTTTAAGTTACGGAGGGAGTACAAGGGGAGCTTCATTAAGATTCCTATGGGACCTCAAAAATCTAGCCTAATGCAATTTATCAATATTTTCTCTAATTTTGGAGGGATACCAAAATCTGTGCAGGATGACTCCATCTTCCAAATGAGGAGCAGAATTGAATCAGAGGATCCTACATCCATCTCCAAACTAATCTTAAATTTTCAGATTCAGGGTGATCTTCGAATAGAATCAGAATGCAGCGAAAATCAAATTGTCTTATCTTCAGAGAAACAACCTAAGTTGCCACAGATCGAGGCTTACTCAGATGCCTCTGATAGTTATGATTATTCTGATGACTCTTTCTACAGAGATGACTTTCTAGGACATGCAACCGAAAGCGATCGTCGTCCTCCTATTTCGTACCCCGAAGAAATCAGGAAATCCAAATTCAACAGCGCAATCTGTTGCAAAGCAAATTTTGTAACCTCTGAAAATTGTCTGCCAACAGACAATCTAAACACGCAACTGAAGATCTACAGGAAATCTAAAAAAAACAAAAGGCGACACAGCATGAGGACTAGGTCCCAATCTAGAGATTTCCCGTAGGAGTAGCTTTTATTTTTGTTTCATTTCTTTTTATGTACTTTTTATTTTACCTTATTTCTCGCATTGTACTATTTTCATTAAAAAAAATGCAATTTGCGTTTAAAAAAAAAAATCAAATTCCTCCTAAAACATTTTCCAACTTTCCAAGATTGGCTTCCCAAAAAAACAATGCCACTTTCTCTTCAAGGAAAAAAAGTATGGCTCATATTATTTCACTCTTCTAAATAAACCCCAACCAAATAGTTTTATTTTCTTAATCTACAAACTACTCAAAGATGGCAACCCATTATTGGAGAAATGTTAACACATAAACATGAAATACTATAGTAATTTATGTCCAGTATTTCAATAAAAATACCAAAAATATGGAGCGGATACTGATGAAATGTTAGTATAAAATAGAGGGCCTTGTCAGCCTGAGGCCTAAAAGAGGTGTTTTTCACCTTCTGGCTTCAGCATCAGGGATGTAAATCAAGCAAGTCCTTTATAGATTATAAACAAATAAAGGATATGCCAAATTGACATACACCTCTGAACTATTCAAAGTTACAAATGACAATCAAAATCCAATTTGGTGAATGGAAGGGATTAGAAGGCATGGTTGTAATAATGTAATCCAACACAAGGGAGCTCAAATGATAAACATAACTAAAGGTTAACCTTCACGACTTCACACAACAATACCTTTGAAAGAGACTAAGTGAGTGAACATTGAAGGTTCATGAGTTTGTCCATGCAAAACTAACTCAATAAATGAATGCTATAAGAGGGAAATATAAGACTACCTGAAATTTTAGCTTTATTTAATTGTTCGGTAATCCTCTTCTCTTCCTCTTCTAACTTCAAGGTCCTGTCAGCTTGACTTCCTGCAAACTTCTCTCTGTAGAATTCAACTTCTTCATCTTTCTACACATTAAGCAAAGTCATTACTTACCAAAATAGAACTACAGGAGAAAATATAGAAAGAGACTCACTGACAATGCCAAATCCACATACCAACTCTTTGAATAATGGTGTAGGTGTTCCAATTTTGTGACCAGCAGGTAAAATATTCCAGGGTTTTTTAGCCCTTTCAATGACACCATTTTCAGCAGCAAGTGAAAGCATAGTTTCAGGCAAATTTAATTGCTTACATACCTATGCGGGAAGATGATGGAATGGCCATAACATACAACATAAGTAAAGAGCTAGCAAAAGTTAGTCTTCCAAATCAATAAGAGAGGACATTAATTACCTCACGTGAAAAGGAAGGCATAAAAGGCTCTAAAAGGCAAGCAAGGAGATACACTAGACCAGCAGCAGTTCTCATAACTATTGAACATGAAGGCCTGTCTTCCTTGTATAGCTTCCAAAATTGGGTTTCCTAGAAGAGTCATAAAAGGTGAGCATCCTAAATTTTCAACATAGCTATAAGTGCCAAACTAATGTTAATGATGCAAGCAGTATAAGTAATTTAATAAAGTTAGATTGCTATCGAAAATCCCAAAAATAAAACATTCATAAGTCAAACAAGAGATTGGGTCAATAAAAAAGATGATGAGAAAAATGTTCAGAAACATACTTGCAGGTAAGCATTTCCTTCACCAGAAAGAGACATGGCAATTTTCAAGCCTTGCTTCAATTTTACCTATATCATTGAATAGCTAAGGTATTACTCAGAAAAAGAAACAAACGGAAAAAACTCTAATGCCTGATCAATCACCTTTTCCATGGCTTCAATATATAGTTCCACATAGTTTCCAGCCTTTTCTCCCAAAGCAATAGTTAAGGGATGAGATACACCACCTTCAGTATCAGGAATTATGGAACCATATCCAGAAGCTGTTCCACATTGCGAGTCAAAGAATAATAAATTTGAAAGATATATCATGAAAGTGAAACTAGTACAGCATGACAGTTCTGATTTTCCACTTTATAAGATAAACAGCCTGAAGTCGACAGATATGCAGAATGATATATTCAAAGATATGCAGAAGTATCATTTGATAACAACAAAATAACTGAGAAATTGCGATCCAAGAAAAATTAAGATTGCAAAAGCATAAAAGACAATCACAAATCACAATGACATGTCAAAAATAGGAAAACACATATTTCAAAAAATAAAGCAAGTTAAACTTCAAAACCTTGACTCAAAGAAGATAAAATACTTCCAATGAAACCTAACCTGACCAAAAACAAATGGTAGATTACTAACCAGAATCTTTTGCAATAAAACTCAAGACACGATTGATGTAGTTCCCAAGATTGCTTAGTAATTCGCTATTTAACTTCGCCTGTAAATCCGTCCATGTAAATAAGGTGTCTGATACCTAAAAGAAGGTAAACTTGTCAGTGCTAAGTACAAGTTACTGACTGTTAAGCGGGTATTCGTCCCAGATTTTGTATTCATGTACACATACATTGAGATCTCAGCTAGCCACTAGATGTATTTTTGGTGAATTACACAAACAGGTCAATAAAGCATTTCTTTCCCCTACCCATACTATGTCATTCTGCATTTGGATTTCTAGCATTTAAAAAACGCAAGTTCTTGTACAGTGTCTCTGCATTTCATGCTTTTCTAGAAAGTCCATAAACCCAAGCCTTACATTCCAAGATCTCAGGAATCTGCTAATTGCTTCATGAAATTTCAATTGATGGGTCTCAATAGTCAAAATTGACAAAGAGCTCAATTAAAACGCATGGTGAGCACAGTAGGATTTGCAAGTCGGAACTCATTTTCCATATTACTCGAAAATGCTATCAAGGATAAGACCCTGACGCGATTGTCTTTCATTTTTGTACCCTCTGCAAAAAAATAGTTCAGAGACTCCAGCTCCTATCACCACCTGACACTGGTGACCTCAGATCTACTACATCATCCAGCTGTAACTACATGAAAAATTAGATTACAAAAATCTTTTTTATCTATAAATATAGAAGCTCCTACTCTGGGAGATGCTTTTACAATGGCTCGTCTAGTTATCTATTGTCCTGTTCCATACTGATCATCAACTTGAGCTGAGGCTATGTCGGCTTTTTTTTGTCTTCCCCACTCTGCTGAATGTCTCTCTGTTTGTTCAAGATGTTTTTCTCTCTGTTCCATTGGTGTTACTCAAACCAAGATACCCAACAGTGGGCTAATCTCTTTGTACTTAAATTGTATGCTGTGATTCTTGTTATTAGTATTCAGAGATTTGGCTTTTGCACCCCCATGTTTACATCAAATTTGAGCATTGTGCCCATATTGAGTTAGCACCCCCCACCCACATTATGTTTTTTATTAAGAACGGTTATTAGTAGGCTGCAAAGTCCAACTTTGATGTAAACATGGGGTGCAAAAACCAACTTTCTATATTTGTTGGCTATGATAAATGAGTGCATATCTAACAGGGGCAGCACGGTGCACGAAGGCATCCCGCAAGGCGAGGGTACGGGGAAGGGTCCCACCACAAGGGCAGCGCGGTGCACGAAGGCATCCCGCAAGGCGATATTCCGGGGATGAGTCCCACCACAAGGGTGGAGCAAGCCTTCCCTGTCAAATTTTGACAAGAAGCCGCTCCCAAGACTTGAACCCGTGACAGCAACACCTTAACCGGTGCGCCAAGGCTCCCCTTCATATCTAACAAATCATCATCATCATTACCTCAGTGCTGCAAAGGCTCCCACCTACGGTGGGGTAAAGGGGGTCGGATGTACGCAGCCTTACCCCTGTACTAAAGCACAGAGAGGCTGTTTCCGGATGACTCATGGTGAAAATCGCGTCGAGAATTGCATGGACTGACCGTTGCTTCATAACAAAGAAGTGCAGCCAGTTTAGTGGGCCATTTTTCTTTATTCCATCATATTACCAAGCCAAAGAATAGTGAATCTTTGGCTCTATTTCAAATGACGGAAACCCCTTCATATCTAACATTTCAAAAAAATTAATTTTGAACAGTATAACATAACGTTTTCCATCATTTTCAATGGAGCCAAAGACTCACTATTTTTTGGCTTGGGAATATGATGGAATAAAGCAAAATGACTCACTAATCAGTCTATGCAATTTTCGACACGATTTTCACTATGGGTCATTCGGAAACAGTCTCTCTGTGCTTTAGTGCAGGGGTAATACTGCGTACATCCGACCCCCCCCCCTTACCCCACCGTAGGTGGGAGCCTTTGCGACACTGGGGTAATGAAATGATGATGAACAGTATAACATAACGGTGGGCTGGAAGCTGATGAGAACCCAGCCCGTTTAGATATTAATACTGACAGGGACTTTTCCAGAGTTTATAATAAATTCTCAGAGTATTTCAGTTCTTATCACAAGCTCAAAGAAGTTAAAACATAGAGTACAAAGTCTAAATTTGACGTAAACATGGGATGAATAACTAATTTTACCTTAGCATGATAAAGTTATTTAACTTGTTTGTGTCTTAAACTATTAATAAGTACTACCCCCAACAATTAGGCAACTGCATTTCTTGGTGCCAATTCGGTTTCTTGGAAGAGTAAGAAACAGTTGATAGAGACCAGGGTTAGAGTGGTTGAGCATATGAAACTGCAGCGAATAACCAAGCAATCATGCATCATACATGTTGCCTCAAATCTGAAGTTTCAAGAATGCACTCAACAAATTCAAGTCTAAATGCGGTTTTGTTTGAGAGAAGTTCAAATGGCCATTGATTCCATCAAATGTCAGTTTTGTTTTACAAAGGAGCCTCATGGTCCTGGAAAGTGTCACCGTTGAAAGCAGCCAGGCATAATTGGTATTTAAGTTCCAATTCAGGAAGTTTATAGCATGTATCAATCAGGTATCCAGTGATCATGCAAATACCTTTAGAAGCAAGACTATATAGACGCACACATACAAACTCTCACTTGCCTAGAGAAAAAAATATGGATCTAACCAAAAGAAATTAATGTGAAGCAATAAGATATCACCTCTGGCCGGTTTGCTAGCAAGTAGTATCTCCATACTTCCACAGGAATAGTTGTATCCTTTACATCATTTCCAAAGACTCCAACACCTTTACTTTTTGAAAACTTCCCTACATAGTGATAATGCATGGAAAGAGACAACAGAAGCCGAGTCAAGGAGATAATCAACAGCAAGCATATTATTATGAGATCTCTCTTAAGTACATGTTTTAGCATTGTGAAACATATCAACCACATAACAAACAGAAGCTTTGCTAACCTGCTTCATAGTTCAAGTATTCTGTGACACTGATAGTTTTCATAAAAGTCCAGTTTTCACCAGTTCCAAGTAGTGTAGATGGGAAAATTACCTGGAATATATTTATCAACTAGTCAATGCAAAGTTTGAAATTTTGAATCCATAGTAGCACATTCGTTTGATCTAACCTTACAAAGAGAAACACATTAAGGAACAAGGATAAAACATTATTTACGATTGTATAGTACTCAAGAATAAGAAAGTAAGAATTTGATTGCAAAGCATCTAACTTCTAGCTGATTCATGAATCACCTCATATATTATACCCCTCTTTCTAAATAATTTCTTCACTGTTTTGAAATTGCCAAAAAAATCTGTCATCTGCCACATATTTTAATAATATTTATGCTGTTACTACCAAAACTTTCAATGAGTTGAACTACAAAAAAAGTAACCAGTACATTAGTGACGGGGAAAATTTTGAATTATACCCATTCAGTTATATCCACGCAGCTATTTCTAATAAATACATGTCGCAGACACAATATCTTAGATATATTATGAAGGATGCATTTTCAGACAAGACAAGCACGCAATTTGAGATTGCCAAATCAGTGTAGTTATGGCGGGGTTTCGCGGCACGGTGTCACCAGACCGCCATGGAGATATGGCGCCTGCCATGGCAGCATCGCGGTGATACGTCGACATAAGTGCAGTATTAAATGCATAATACATTAATATGGTTTATATACTACATGTAACACTTATAGAAAACAAGTCATTCATGAACTTTACTACTACCTCCTTCCCCTTAAGATTGGGACACCAGGGAGTGGTTCAGTTATTAAGAAAAATGGAATTGTGTGGCTGATGTTGAATTGATAAAGTGTGAATAAAGTAAGAATGAATTGTAACCACTAAACCACCCGAATGTTACCAACTATGGTATGAGACAAACTTAACGGGGGGGACAAAAAAGGTAAAATGGGACAAAGATTGGGGGACGGAGGGAGTATTAACTATGCAAAATCTCACAACATTAATGAAATACAAAATACTTACTAATTACTAATAGTATATACCAATTACTAATAAAAGCAAAATTGTTTTATAAAAATAAAGCAAATGTTGAAGACACTGTTGTACCAAACAAAACTAACCAGAGAGGAACAAGAGGAACAATGTGTGAGGAAGGCCTGAAAAATAAGAAGAAAAGTTTAAATGGGAAATGGGACATCACATGAGAGGACGATGATGCTCTAGATGGCGATGAGCGGGACAATGGTGACACTCGAACCAATGGGAGATGGGGGCAACTGAGACGATGGTGGATGGCGACGAACGAGACGATGGCGAATAGAGACGACGGCGTTGCCAAAAGACATACGGCATCAAGACTCCATGGCGAGCAGGATTGAGCACCATGACACCATGGCGTTGTCCTGGCAACGCCATAACAACTATGTGCCAAACGCATGCTATATTGCTATACCTCAACGCACCACTAAAATTATTTTTCTTAAACAAGTAATACTGGCATGCCTAGAGAGGCTATTCTAGTGGGGTGAGAGATTTTGTTCTTTATTATTATTAGTTTCATATTACAAATCAGTATTGTTAGTATTTAGTAATACTGATACTGTGGAAACCCTAGTAGTATTGGGCTTAGCCCAGTTGTATATCTTGTATAGGAAACCCTAGTACTCTAAATATAGCTATAAATATAGCTTCTTGTATAGGATTTCATATGAAGTATAATGAATACAATCTTATATTTCACATGGTATCAGAGCCTATATGGCAATAGTTAGGGCGCTGGCTTCCGGCAAGCATTTCCGGCGTAATTTCCGGCGTGAACAGTAGCTGCGAGTGGTGTGGGAGCACACTTCCGGTAGTGAATATCCGATCTACACCTACCGCCTTGCTCAGCATACCATCGCGACCAACCACCCGGAACAATACCGGCACGACGGCCCTCACGCGCCCTCACGCGCCACCGCCGCTTACTGCAGCTGAATAACATATTTGCAGATCTACTCCGTTCTACTTATTCGGAGCGCTCACAGCCGACACACTGAAGACCTGGAGTTTCTGGCGACCACAACAGCATAACATAGGCACTCATCGGACACCCACGCGCCGCCGCCGAACCCACGCGCCGCCGCTGAACACTCGCGTTGTTGCCGTCGCTCCGCCTGCCCGCCGCTGCTCTACCCTTTTCGCCGCAGTCAGGTTTGTGTCGTGAACTCTTGTTCTCATCCGCTGCTACTGCCAGAGTCCAAGACTGGCTGCTCTTGTCCGCTGCTACTGCCAAGTCTGGCTTCCTGGTGCTCTCTCTGCCTTATTATTTACAAAGCACTAAATTCACTTTTAATTTACTCATTTTCTTTTGTTTAAAAAAAAGGAAGGAAAAACAAAAAAAAACAAATCAGTAAAAAAAAATGTCTTTTGTGAGTTCTGACAGAGGAAACAACACCGGATACTCAAGATGGAATCGTCCTAAATGTGATTTTTGTCATAAAATTGGTCATACTAAAGACCGGTGTTGGAAATTACATGGGAGACTTCCTCCCTCAACCCATGTTGCTCAGCTACCACCATCTCCCATTGTTCTATCACCGGAAGAATATGCAGCATATCAGCAATTTAAGTTGACTAATATGCTTTTACCCACACCCGGGATGTCTACAGCTTGTGTTTCAAACACAACAGGCTCATGGATCATTGACTCAGGTGCCTCAGACCATATTTCTGGTAATCCCCATCTTTTATCCCATATTACTAAGCACCGACATCTTCCTTTGATTACTCTTGCTAATGGCCTTCAAACTTCTGCTTCGGGTATTGGGCAAGCACTTCCACTTTCATCCTTACCGTTAGACTCCGTCTTATATGTCCCAAACACCCCTTTTAACCTCGTCTCTGTCAGTAAAATTACACGTGCTCTTAATTGTTCTGTAACATTTTCTGCTGATTCTGAGATTGTGCAGGACCGTTGTACGGGGAAAACGATTGGCGTCGGACATGAATCTAAAGGTCTGTATCATCTCCATCCTCTTGATCCAATCGCTTGTGTTTCAGTTGAACCTGCTATTACCTTACATAACCGTCTGGGTCATCCTAGTCTCTCAAAGTTTCAACGTATGGTTCCAGGTTTCTCAAATCTTTCATCTTTAGATGGTGAGTCATGTCACCTTGGAAAACAACCTCTTAAATCCTTTCCAAGGCGAGTCAATAAACGGGCTACATCACCGTTTGATTTAGTTCATACAGATGTATGGGGTCCGTATCGAGTCACTTCTACTTTACGTTTCCGTTATTTTGTTATTTTTGTGAATGATTTTTCCCGTTACACATGGTTGTTTTTAATGAAAGAGCGTTTTGAATTGTTTCATATTTTTCAAACTTTTTGTGCTGAAATTCAAACTCAGTTTGGTCATTCTATAAAAATTTTACGCAGTGACAATGCCAAAGAATTTTTTGGGGCATCCTTTAATCAATTCATGACATCACGGGGTATGCTTCACCAATCTTCTTGTGTTCACACGCCTCAACAAAATGGGGTTGCTGAACGCAAGAACCGACACTTGGTTGATACTGCTCGTACCCTATTATTACATTCCCATACACCACCTCAGTATTGGGCAGATGTTGTGCTCACTGCGTGTCATTTAATAAATAGAATGCCTTCCTCAGTTCTTAATAATGAAATTCCTTATTCTATTTTGTTTCCTGCTCGTGATTTATTTCCATTACCACCTCATGTGTTTGGGTGCGTGTGTTTTGTCCATGATACGACACCTGGATTAGCTAAAATGGCGGCTAGGTCAATAAAATGTATCTTTCTTGGATATTCGCGACTCCAAAAAAGGTATCGTTGTTATTCTCCATTACTTAAGAAACATTTTATTTCAGCCGATGTCACTTTCATTGAGTCGTCCTTTTATTATCCATTATCTTCAGTTGATACCCCATCATGTTTGGACTTCACCTCATTTCTTCGGCCCATCCATCAGGAGACTCCCATTAACCCCCCATCTAATGAGCACCCAAACTGCCCTCCTATGTCAGACCGTCCATTACAGGTATACCATCGACGTCCTCGACCTCCTCCCATTGAGCCCATCGTGGCCACGCCCGTTGATTCCCCTATGACGGATCCTGCATCACCACCATCACCTACTCCAGCACTTGACACCACTCAGGATAATTTGCCCATTGCTCTCCGAAAAGGTACGCGTTCCACATTGAATCCACATCCCATATATAACTTTTTGAGTTATCACCGCCTCTCTACCCCTTACTATGCCTTTATTTCCCACCTGTCTCATATATGCATTCCTAAAACCACACATGAGGCACTGGCACACCCGGAGTGGCGTAAAGCCATGTTGGCTGAGATGGAGGCTCTTCATTCTAGTGGGACATGGGACTTAGTCCCCCTTCCCACTGGCAAATCAGTGGTGGGATGTCGGTGGATTTACACAGTTAAAGTTGGGCCTTGTGAAAGTATATTATAATATACTTTAGAATATGCTTTAGAATATTTTAGGAATATACCATATATAGTATTATTGTATAGCATCTTTTATAGGAATATTCTATCTTTGTAATCTATATTTAAAGGGCCTTACCCTTCAATGAAATACACAGAAAATCCTTTCCTCTCCAATATTATTTCTTAGTTTATGTGCTCTATTTCAACATGGTATCAGAGCATCCAATTCAGTTTAGTTATTTCAGTTTAGTCATTCATATCTCAGTTTCCTTTCCAGTTTCACCAAAGAGCTGATTTCAGTCCAGAACTTTCAGAACCTCCTACCCTTCTCAGAACCTCTTCCAGAACCTGAGTTAACTCCAAAACCTTACACACCCTTTTGTCTGCAGAACCTCTACCCAGACCCTAGAACCAGATTCTTAATCCAGAAAATCAATTAGCTACTAATTTTACAGAAACTCAGTTCAGTTAGCTTTATAGCCCCAGATTCTTCAAGCCAGAATTCGAGTCAAAGCAATACTCAGGAGGTGCGCCTACCTCAGACGACCCAGCAGCCGAAATCCGACATCCAACTGCAAGGCGAGTGTGCTACACGCGCCACCACAAGCCCGGCGCGCGATACCACTTTTCTGGCCGGAGTTTTGACCGGAGCTCTTCGCCTGACACTCGCCTGAAAGTCCTCTGCCAGGTACACTTTTCTTTTCTCGTTCTTTGTCCAGCAAGGGACGGGATCTGTGGACCGAAGGAAGCCTGTGGTTGGTCGCTAGTGTCTGGCATCGGATACTGTGGACGCCCCAGGGTGGGTTGGTCACTGCCTCGCTGGTGTCTGGTCTCGGATATTGGTAAACATCCGCTTGCTCCTCTTGCTCCTTCGCTGATTGTTCCGCACATACTGGGATCTCGCATCAGACCGACAGCTTGAAATTAAGTTTGGAGTCCCACGCCCTGGATATTTTATTCTCCAAATTTTAAAGTCCACAAACGGGAACCTGCTGGGCTGCTGTAAGATTTCAGAATATCTCTCTTTTTCTTTATCTAATTATTGTGTCTAAAAAAAAAAAAAAAAAAAACATACGAAAAAAAAAAAAAAAAAAAAATATGTCTTGTACGAGTGGATTTGACAGACGAGTAATATGCAATTACTGTAAGAAGTCGGGGCACTTGATCAAAGAATGTAGAAAAGTGTTGTTCAAAAATCAAGGAAATCAGCTTGCTCGTGTCGCTTCCGCTACCAGTTCATCCGATGGATCAGTTGCTATTTCTTCAGATGAGTATGCCAAATTTATTTGCTACCAAGAATCTCTAAAGCATTCATTTGTCCCTATCTCGGTAGCCGCAAATTCAGGTATTTCAAACACATGTCTTGTTTCATCATCCTCAAAATGGGTCATTGATTCAGGTGCCACAGATCATATGACCGGTAATCCTAGTCTATTCTCGTCATTTCATTCATATTTACCTACTTCTAGTGTCACTTTAGCTGATGGATCTACATCACCCGTTCTTGGATCTGGTACTGTTGTTCCAACTTCTACATTACCATTATCGCCTGTTTTGAGTCTTCCTAATTTTGCATTTAATCTGCTTTCCATCAGTAAAATCACTCGTACTCTTAATTGTTCTGTAACATTTTTTCCTGGATATTGTGTGTTTCAGGATCTGTTAACGAAGCAGATTATTGGTAAAGGACATGAGTCAGCTGGTCTTTATATTTTGGATACATCCATCACAAAAGGTATCTCTTGTCTTGGGGTTGGGACTTTGTTAGATGCTCATTACCGATTAGGACATCCATCTCTCCCATTAATGAAGCAAATAAATCCCCAATTTAATAAGATGACCTCTTTACAATGTGAGTCATGTCAATTTGCGAAACACCATCGTACTAGCTTAAGCCCGCAAGTTAATAAACGAGCAAATGCTCCATTTGACCTTGTTCACTCTGATGTTTGGGGTGCTTGCCCGGTTGTGTCTAAAGTTGGTTTTAAATATTTTGTTACCTTTGTTGATGACTATTCTCGTATGACATGGTTGTATTTCATGAAACGTCGATCTGAGTTGTTCACTCATTTTTCTTCCTTTTGTGCTGAAATTAAAACTCAGTTTAACGTTCCTGTTCGGGTGTTAAGAGGAGACAATGCCCAAGAATATCTTTCTGCTACATTTAAGTCATTTATGCTTCAACATGGCATTATTCATCAAACTTCATGCGTTGACACACCTCCTCAAAATGGAGTTGCAGAACGAAAGAACCGACATCTGTTAGAAACTGCACGGGCTCTTCTATTCCAAATGAATGTGCCTAAACAGTTTTGGGCAGATGCCGTGTCTACTGCATGTTTTTTGATAAATCGAATGCCATCTTCTGTTTTGAATGGTAAAGCTCCTTATCATTGTCTATTTCCAAACAAAGAGCTTTTTCCTATCCCACCTAAAATATTTGGTTGCACTTGTTTTGTTAGAGATGTTAATCCTCATCTTACAAAGTTAGATCCCAAATCATTAAAATGTATTTTCTTGGGTTATTCTCGAGTCCAAAAGGGGTATAAATGTTTTTGTCCGAGTACTGGTCGGTATCTTGTTTCTATTGATGCATCATTTCATGAAAATACGCCTTTTTCATCATCTAAGGCGGATATTCATGAGAGTAATGATGATATACTCATTTACACGATGACTATTCCTGAGTCCACACTTTCAACACATATTCCACAAGTTACTGTTCCTGACCCTAGGCCTCCCGTACATTTGGTATACACCCGTCGACACAAAGCACCTGATCACCATCCACCGGCGATACCTGTGATTACTTTTCCTGATACTAGTTCGACTCCGATCTCATGTCCTGAACCAGTACCTGCATCTTCAGATCTTGTCTCCACATCAGATCTTGACCTCCCAATAGCACTACGTAAAGGTACACGGTCTTGTACTCATCCTATTTCTTCATTTGTGTCATACAATCAGTTATCTCCTGCTTCATGTTCTTTTATTGCTTCCATTGATTCTATTTCTGTTCCCAAATCTGTCAAAGAAGCTTTGTCTCATCCTGAATGGCGTCATGCCATGGTAGAGGAAATGAATGCTTTAGATCTTAATGGTACTTGGGATTTGGTTGACTTGCCTACAGGGAAGAAATCTATTGGATGTAAGTGGGTCTTTGCTGTTAAGGTTAACCCAGACGGATCTGTTGCTCGGTTGAAAGCCCGATTAGTTGCGAAGGGTTATGCTCAAACCTATGGTGTTGATTATTCTGACACTTTTTCTCCTGTTGCTAAATTAACATCTGTCAGGTTACTTATTTCACTCGCTGCAACTCATGATTGGCACTTACATCAGTTGGACATTAAAAATGCATTTTTGCATGGTGACCTTAAGGAAGAAGTCTATATTGAGCAACCTCCGGGATTTGTTGCTCAGGGGGAGTATGGTAAAGTTTGTCGACTTCGCAAGTCTCTTTATGGTCTAAAACAGAGTCCTCGTGCATGGTTTGGGAAATTTAGTCAATCAATTGAACAATTTGGAATGATAAAAGCCAAATCAGATCACTCTGTCTTTTACAAACAAACAGAATCAGGTGTCACATTGCTTGTGGTGTATGTTGATGATATTGTGATTACAGGGAGTGATAATGCAGGTATTTTGGCCCTTAAGAATTTTCTGCATAGTCAATTTCAGACGAAAGATCTTGGCTCTTTGAAATACTTTCTGGGAATTGAGGTAACACGAAGTAAGAAAGGCATATTTCTATCTCAACGTAAATATGTACTTGACTTACTAGCTGAGACAGGGAAATTAGGGGCCAAACCAAGTACAACACCCATGGTTCCCAACGTGCAACTCACTCAAGAAGGCACACCGTTTGAAGACCCAGAAAGATATAGAAGACTGGTTGGAAAGCTTAATTATCTCGCAGTCACTCGTCCAGATATTGCCTATTCTGTGAGTGTAGTGAGTCAATACATGTCATCTCCAACCATTGATCATTGGGCTGCAGTAGAACACATATTATGTTACTTAAAGGGTGCACCAGGACGAGGTATTGTTTACCAAAACCATGATCACATGAGAATAGAATGTTTTGCAGATGCTGATTGGGCCGGTTCTAAAGATGATCGAAGATCTACATCTGGTTATTGCGTCTTTGTTGGTGGTAATCTTGTATCTTGGAAGAGTAAGAAGCAGAATGTGGTTTCTCGTTCAAGTGCCGAATCAGAATATCGAGCTATGGCACAATCTGCATGTGAGATCATATGGATAAGCCATTTATTGACCGAGCTCGGACTGAAGACATCAATGCCTGCTAAATTGTGGTGTGATAACCAAGCTGCTATACACATAGCAAACAATCCTGTATTTCATGAGAGAACAAAGCATATTGAGGTCGATTGTCATTTTATTCGAGAGAAGATACAAAAAGGATTGATCTCTACAGGATATGTGAAGACTGGGGAACAACTTGGAGATTTGTTCACTAAAGCACTAAATGGAATTCGAGTTGATTATTTATGTAACAAGTTGGGCATGATAAATATCTATGCTCCAACTTGAGGGGGAGTGTGAAAGTATATTATAATATACTTTAGAATATGCTTTAGAATATTTTAGGAATATACCATATATAGTATTATTGTATAGCATCTTTTATAGGAATATTCTATCTTTGTAATCTATATTTAAAGGGCCTTACCCTTCAATGAAATACACAGAAAATCCTTTCCTCTCCAATATTATTTCTTAGTTTATGTGCTCTATTTCAACAGGCCTGATGGGGAGATTGATCGTTTTAAAGCACGCCTTGTGGCGAAAGGGTATACTCAGATATATGGCTTGGACTACACTGACACTTTTTCTCCTGTAGCGAAGATTGCATCAGTTCGTTTGGTTTTATCCATGGCAGCAATGAGCCGCTGGCCATTGTTCCAATTGGATATTAAAAACGCATTCCTTCATGGAGATCTGCACGAGGAAGTTTATATGGAGCAACCACCTGGATTTGTTGCTCGGGGGGGTCTGGTATGGTGTGCAGTTTACGTCGTTCATTATATGGCTTGAAGCAATCTCCACATGCATGGTTTGGGAGGTTTAGTGCCGTTGTCTGCAGCTTTGGCATGATTCGCAGTGATGTTGATCATTCTATATTCTACAGACATTCTATTGGCAACAAATGTATTTATCTTGTAGTGTATGTTGATGACATTGTCATTACAGGTAGCGATGATCAAGGCATTGCGCTCCTCAAGCAACATCTGTTTAGCAAATTTCAAACAAAAGACTTGAGCAAGTTGAGATACTTCCTTGGCATTGAGGTCGCACAGTCTCAAGATGGAATTGCTCTCACACAAAGAAAGTATGCCTTGGATATTCTGGAGGAAACAGGTTTGCTAGATTGCAGGTCAGTGGATACACCAATGGATCCGAACGTTAAACTCTTATCAGAACAGGGAGATCTTTTGCCCAACAAGGAAAAATATAGAAGACTCATCGGCAAATTGAATTATCTTACCATCACAAGACCAGATATTTCATTTGCGATAAGTGTTCTTAGTCAGTTTCTTGATAAGCCATGTACTGGACACTGGGATGCAGCTATCCGAGTTTTGAGATACATCAAGAAAACTCCAGGGCAAGGATTGTTGTTTGAAGATTGAGGCCACCATGATATTGTGGGATACTGTGATGCAGACTGGGCCGGATGTCCGATGGATAGACGTTCCACTTCGGGATATTGCATCTTGATTGGTGGAAACTTAATTTCATGGAAAAGTAAGAAACAGGATGTGGTTCCCAGATCTAGTGCTGAAGTAGAATATCGTGCAATGGCTCTTGCTACATGTGAAATCTTATGGTTGAAGCATCTCCTACAAGAGTTAAAATATGGAAACACAAAACCGGTTCAACTCATGTGTGATAATCAAGCTGCAATGCACATCGCATCAAATCCGGTATATCATGAGAGGACAAAACATATTGAAGTTGATTGTCATTTTATCCGAGAAAAGATCACGAGTGGACATATCATCACAAAATATGTGAAAACAACTGAACAACTTGCAGATATTTTAACTAAGTCTCTTAGAGGTCCTAGAGTGGAATATATTTATAACAAGCTTGGTACATATGATTTATATGCTCCAGCTTGAGGGGGAGTGTGGAAACCCTAGTAGTATTGGGCTTAGCCCAGTTGTATATCTTGTATAGGAAACCCTAGTACTCTAAATATAGCTATAAATATAGCTTCTTGTATAGGATTTCATATGAAGTATAATGAATACAATCTTATATTTCACAGATACTAATATTAGTTTCCTATTATTAGAATTATTTAATAGTATTCTAACTTAACTAATACTATTAATATCAATATTATAATGGTTACTGGTTATAACTCTAATAGAAAACCTTGCTAATTTAGACTCTTGGGGTTAGTATAAATAGAGGGTTTTATTCATTAATAAGACTATCAATAATTTTGGAATTGATTCATACGTGATTTAGCCTTTAGGCAAGGCCTACTAAAAATTCCCTAATCGGCCAAGTGCAAGAAAGAAACCCTCTCTGCCAAGCACAAGAAGTTCTTTATCTTAGCTTTATTCATCTTCTTCTTTGAGTCTCCACTCTCCACCATGCTCGTAACAACAAGTTGGTCAGAGGGGCTGCCTTTAATCTCGTAAGCTTTCAAAAGTAGGAAGTAAAATCATGCCAACCCCAAGAACCCGTGGTTAACAGAATTCATGTCGAACAGACAAGCATGGATGTCGCAAAAAAAAACAAATATTTTGTTCATTAGAACTTTGTTCGTGGATGGTGTGTTAGAGAGGTATAAAGGCATTACACAATCAAGAACTCATAATGCCATGATGTGTGCTGAAAATCATCATCTGCCCATTCTCTGGGTGCAATCTAATAAGATAGGCTGAGGCGTAAATCCAGTGGTGACAGAAAGTGCTTCTTGATGTTCATCTAGTAATAGCGACTTATTATGCCGGACAATCCTGTTATTGAGCTTCTTGTATCATTGCTTCACTATCTCATCCTCTATAAGCTGGGAGTATGTACAGGGTTGTACCACTACCGCATTCGTTCCATGGACAGTGGTCACCCAGCCTTTCCGTAGTTAGTCAAAACTAGGGTTCGGCCGGGGTCCAAAAAGTTACTGAACTGACATTTCGGTTATCAAAAAGTTACAACTAAAACCAAACCGTCAATGGAATGGGTAGCGATTTCTAGGGAACTGATTTTTTGGGTTGAAAAGCCCAAAACCGTATAAACCACACTTCTATAAATTTAAATAAATTAATGAATTAATACTCAGAGCTCCAATTCTCAAGCAATATTAGTCTGAGCTGCCTAATCCCAATAACTTATTGCAAAGCCCAATTAGTTTGGTTTGTAAGTGGAAGGTTACTAGATGCCTCTTAGAAACTTATATAGAAATGTTCAAAGGAGGAGCACCTCCCTTCTTCCATGTGGAATAACATGTTCTGGAAACACTATTGAAAGTTTAAAAATAAAAGTCGGCCCTGGAAATCGAACTCGACACATTAAAGAAAATATAATAAACTCCACCTCCGTCTCACCAACATGCCTATTGCGTACAATTCGAAGTTAAAACTATAAACCAATTATCCCTTTTGTATACAGCATTATTGACTACCAATCTACCATGATAATGATAATTAATAATTATTCATACTATTATTAATGTAAATTTCTGGTTCGGTTCAGTGCAAAACCGACTTTTTGAGAACATGAACCAAATTCAAACCATGTTTTTACGGGTCCCGATTTTCAGGTCCCAAATCACATTGGTTTGATTCAGTTTGGTTTTTTTCAGTTGGGTTTTCGTACCAAAATGCCAGCCCTAGTCAAAACCTATGGAAAAACAACATCAAAGCTTTGTAACCACCCTTTCAAGGTTGATGCAGTTATGTAGGTCGAAGGGTGTGCAGAGTTGTACGCTGCTCAAAAGTACTAAGGCAAGGGACAATCTTACATGCACATCCACACCCGTGCATGCACATTAAGAACTAACGCTTTAACATGACAGACAAAAAAAAGTTATTAAAGCTCCCTCTATTCAAACAAAGCTTTAGATGAAGCTGGAGAGGGATGTCAATGTATCTGCCTTTTTGTTTTTGTTTTTCATGTTTTTTCTCCTTCAGATAGTCTTTGATAACATAACAAGGTACAAAAACATCCAACCTTTATTTCCAAAAGAGTTTGAGGTCGGCTAACATGAATCGACATTATCTGAGTTAAATACATTAGATAGAGAAAGAGGGAGACAACCAAAACAAGATCAATCTACTGTTTGGTTGTCATCCAACACAAGTAGTATTTTATCATTCACTGCCACTCTACTCCATATATGTCTAGGTCGCTCCCTCCCTCTCCTCCTATATTCACATCTCAATATGTCTACCATATCCATAACCGCAAGCGAGGCTCACATTTTATCTTCAATAGGTGTTACTCCCACCTTTATTCTGATTGTCTCATTCCTTAAGCAGTCTTTCCTAGTATGCTTGCACATCCATGACAACATACGCATCTCTGATCATTTGAAAGTGACATTGTTTCACCACCCAACACTCTATGTCATACAATAATACATGCCTAATTGTTGTTCGATAAAACTTACCCTTCAGATTAGATGGCACACCGCTATCACATAGAAGTCTTGAAGCACTCTTCCATTTTATCCACACCGCTTCAACTATAAGGGATATGTCTCCATACAATTCACCATCCTTTTAAAAGATGAGTCACTAGGAGCTTGGTACCATCTAAGATAATCTCACTATGGCCATTGTTTCTACCACCACGGCACCACTAAATTCACCCTTCATATACTAAGTCTTGTTTCGACTCAGTCTGAAACTCTATCCCTCTAGGGGTATCAACATAATTCCAACTTCGCTTAAAGATATTATCTGGTCTCATCGATATATACAATATCAATTGCGCACCATCGTATATCTTTTCGTCTTATCTGATCCTGTCCTCTCTACACTAGTATGAAATGATGTTGATGTACTTAGGTGATATGCCTTTTCTAGCTAATGTCCAAGACTTCTCGAGGCACCCATTATACGTTTCTTCTAAGTCAATGAATACCATATGCAGGTTCTTGTTCTTATCTCTATCCTTCTCCACAAGTTTCCTAAAAAGGTTAATTGGGTTGGTTGTTGAGCAACTGACATAAAACCAAATTAGTCCTTAAAAATCTTCACACTTCTTTGTGGTTAGCTGAATCACTTGTTCCCGGAGTTGCATGGTATGACTCATAAGCTTAATATCTCAATAGTTGACACATTTTGTGCATCATCTTTATTCTTAAATAAGTGAACAAAAATAAGTGAATAAGAGAACTCTTCAGCCAACTCATTGGCATTTTGTTATGTCTCCAAATCTTGTTCAAGAAAGTTGGTAGTCACTCGATGCCTCTATCTCCCAAACATGTTCAAACCTTGATTGAATCATCGTAATTCTAAATTAGAATATTAGGTTTTTCTATTCGGGATTTTCTTAATTAAGGAATCATTTTCAAATAGTATGTTCTGGTTTTGACCCGCTACTTACTTCTACCCAGGTTCCTTAAGCCTCTTTAAATTTTCTCCTTTGGGTCCATATTACACAATCCTGATTTACCATACAATCTGGTACGGTAAGATCACCACTAAACAATGTGTCAACGTAAGACATCTACCTCACTCTTATTTCTTCATCCCTAATTAGTACCCTTTGAATGGCATCCTTCGCACATGTAACTTTCTTGATATCTACTTAAGTACAAATGCATCAAATATATTGTTATTGAAGCTCCATGTTTTATTCATATAATGTCTTACATTAAACTTAGGGAGGGAGTTCATCTATCTGCCTTTTTGTTTTTTTTTTGTTTTTAATAAAAATATTTCGACCTATAGATAGTCTCTACTAAAGAATGAATGCATCAAATATATTCACAGAAGTACAGAACCACCGGCTATTACCACTGTTATAGAAGGAGCTAGGCAACCGGATGAGGGATGCCACCGTCACTTTGGAGTATCATATATGGAGGTTCAAGTGAGAACCCATTTTATGATAAGCACTATATCTTAATTAAGCACATAAGTACAACAAGTACTGCAAGAGCACTGCTACAAAGAGCAGAAACCAATTAACACATTATTACCAGTGAAGGTGCATGAAAATCATAGGCAATCTTACTCATAAAAACAGAAACATATAATTGTAAGCACTTCAAAATCATAAACCCACCACAACTGGTGAACTGGCTATTACCAGTGTTATCGAAGGAGCTAAGCAAGCGGATGAGGGATGATACCGCCACTTTGGAGTATCATATACGGAGGTTCAAGTGAGAACCCATTTTATTATAAGCACTTTATCTTAAATAAGCACATAAGTGCAACAAGTACTGAAAGAGCACATAATAGACAATCTTACTTATAAAACAGAAGCATATAATTGTAATCACTTCAAAATCATACACCTACCACTCTCAATTAGGCACAAAATCTATCATTGTTAGACCACAAAACATAATAATAAGGTTTCCAAGAATATAATTGCTTACTGTATGAAAAGGCACATTATCCTTGCCCATAAATTGGTATAGCTCAACATTCTCGGGATTCTTCCACCATTTCTCCCATTCGGCTGTGTAGCATGAAGTGATTGACACATACCCAATTGGTGCATCAAACCATACATAGAAAACCTGTAAGCAAAATAGAAAATACAACAACAACCAAGCCTTAGTCCCAAAACATGTACGAAAATATTCAGGCAAATTTAAAAAAGAAAGAAATCATGAGCACATTCAGGATCTACAATTCAAACAATGCATATGATGGTAGGTACTAGCATGAGCCTCATCAATATTTATTAAGTGCAACATTGTGTATAATTCAGAGGAATCACAGATAAATAGAGTACAAAATGGCGGTAAAACTATATCCAACTACTTATTAAATATTAACAAAAAATCAGTAGAGCTTAAAAGGTTTATCCAGCTAACCTTGTCTTTGTATTTCTCATGTGGAACTGGAACCCCCCATTTCAGATCTCTAGTGATACACCTTGGCTTTAGTCCTTCTTTTAACCATGCATGTGTTGTGTGAATAGCATTCTGACTCCATCCACCATCCACTGACATACTTTTTACATAGCTCTCTAGTTTATCCTTCAGCAAAGGGAGCTCAAGGAACAAGTGGTCTGTATCACGAATGCATGGAGTAGTATGACAGACCTGATGAAGAAAGTAAAGAAATATTAAAAAAAATTATTTCATTCCTGCAATGACTATTCACAGTTCAAACTACAAAAGAGCAAATAAGAATGCATTTCATATTAATCAAAATCATGCTTGTCCGGACAAAAATGAGTTAGTTATACACATTCTTCAATGTCATTCCTTGAAAGTACTGTTGAGTGGGGTCGATTGACTCTGCTGAAATCGAGAACTCATGCTAATTATCTCCCCAAGTCCTGAATGGTTCTATATGGGTACATTCTACCTCTTCTCCTTCCATTCTTCTTCTTCTTCTTCTTCTTCTTCTTCTTCTTCTTCTTCTCCTCCTCCTCCTCCTCTGCCTTCTTATTCTTCTCCTCTTGCCTGCTGTGCAGTTTTTTCTTGCCTGCTATGCTCTTTTGTTTGTTTTTGTATTTTTTTGGTTTTCCTTCGTTTGCTTGTTTACATTAGTGAGCTTCTGGCTGCTAGCTGCTGTTTTTCCCAGTGCTTTTTTAGGTCTACCAATGAGCTAATGAGTTCTGCTGCACACTATTTAGCAAACCCCAAAATCTTTTGGGAATAAGGCTTGAATGTTGTTGTTGTGTGGTTTTAAAAGCTGCTGATCAGGAGCACTGTCACTGCTGTACTGGTACCAGCTGCTTTGCTCTATTTTATTCTAATTTTCCAGTATTAAGTGCTGCTGATCATACCATCTTCAGTGCTTAACACAGTGCCAAAGTGTAGTATCAGTTATGCCTATATCAGAGTGACAGCAAGCAATACAGGACAGTAGAGTAGAATTATATCAGATTAGTTATGTATTGCTTTCCTTGTGTGTGTGCATTATGAATAGCAATACCATAGCAAACAACCACCCATTTAGTTTAATAGATAAAGTTAGATTTCTGTCTTTTTAATGTATGGCACTATGGCACCTGGTGAAAAGGAGGCACTGGTATTCTTGGACTGATCCTTTCACCTTATTTCTCTTGTCTATTCTGAAGAACCAAAAGGCGTACCCACATCAAAATTGTTATAGCCATCCTGAATTTCTTCACGATAAGTTCTGTATTTGCTTTCTTGTATTTGCAACTGCAGCTGAATGCTGGAAGGTTATAATCGATGACTTCTGTAATAGCAGAGCTTGCAGCCTAGATCCTTGGCCTCACGTGCTCATCAACCAGTTGTGAACAAAACTGGAATATATCATGATTAATAAACTCTTCCGTGTATGTCATGTACAGCAAAAAAAACTCTAAAATAAAAAAATAAACATTGAGGTTGAGTGTAAGTGAAGGAGATCTGTAGAAGAGGTTGGCTGTGATTACAGAAGAATTGGGGAAGATGTGTAACTAGACTATTCATGGATTGCGAATGAACAAAATGAAAGCCATAAAATTGGGGGAATTTTGACATAACGTTGAGATTAATATTTTTTTGCCATGAGTCTAGAAGACCGAGTGATGCACCCGTTAGACGAATTGAGGGGTGGGTAGAAGAGGCAGGGAGGAGGAAGGAGAGGGATGATATGGTACTTCTTGGGTTGGACGAAAGTTTTACTTTGCATAAAGCGAAGTGGAGGGAGACTATACATGAGGAGGATTGATCTTTGTTTATCTTTTTAACTCCGATTTCATATGTTGATTCATGTTAGCCGACCCCAAACTCCTTTGAGTCTAAGGCTTGGATGTTGTTGTTGTTCTTGATGAATATTTTAATGTGGACATACTTGGATGGGAACTAACCAAGGTTGTTAGGATCGCGAGGTAACTCGTAAGATCGTACGAGTTTGCGATTTGGAGAGGGGGAATCAAGTCAGATCGCTCCAAAGATCGGAAATTGCACTGGGATTGGCAGATCGTCGAGTAGGATCGTAAAACGTACGACTCGTCGATCTAAAACGAGTTGCGACCACTCGGTTCAAAAACGGGAAAAGAAGGGTGCCGTTGAAGTCTGAAACGACGACTTTGAAAAAAAATGAAATATAGCGTCTTTTTCTTCAGTCCTCATCTCTTCTCTGTTCTCTCTATGTCGTCCGCTTATTGTTAATCTCTCTGTGTCGTCCGCTTATTCTTCATCTTTCTGTGTCGCTAGCTTTACCAAAATATTTCGCTTATACTCCACTTTACTAAAGGAGAAAAGGGGGGGAGGGGGGGGTTATTAGTGACTCTGACTTCTGAAGTTCTGATAGCATAAGTATGGCAAGTGGGTCAATAGCAAACAAAAAAGCTGCAGGGTAGAGAACCGAAGTTGGCTGGGACCCTGGGAGCATGGTATATCCATGAGTGAAGATAACAGAACAATAAAGTTTTGAAAATGTCTTTTTTAATTTAGGAAAAATTGATACTAATAATCCCAACTATTGGCGGTCCGCTCATAATAATCCCAACTATTGATTATTCCAGAATAATCCCAACTTTAGGGGCCTTCCGCCAATAATGGTTCCTATGAATAAATTCTTGTAGTTTCTAAAGTGGATGAGATGAGATATAACAAGTAATCCCTATAAATAATCTCAACTTTTAATTTTTAGGCCTAATTTCTATTTAAAATTCACTTTTTATAGAGGTAATATCTGGTCATGGACCATTATTGGCGGACAGTCTATATAGTTGGGATTATACAAAAATAATCAATAGTTGGGATTATTTTCAGCGGACCGGCAATAGTTAGGATTATTATTTTCAATTTTTCCTTTAATTTATCGTAAGTTTGTTATCCTAAGTGTTTTAAACTTTTAATTCAAAAATGACATTATGTTATTCATATTTCAAAAGTTATAAGTTTAAATACACACACACACACATATAAATATGCATGGTATCTTTGCTTTTAAGATCTTACAATCCGAGTTACGATCCACGAGTTACGATCTCCTCTTCCCCTCCCGATCCGAGCTAGGATCTCGAGTTTAACAACCTTGGAACTAACAAATGGTGCAAGTCAGGTTCACTGACCTTCAATTCAACCTCTATCAAAATCATGTTCAAGAAAGAAGGGTACACAAAATGATATGTTTTGTGAACTTGTGATGATCTATGTGGAGACATTTTCATTTTTATATAAAAATATAAACAATATAATATTTTTCCTTTTGATGTTGCTAAAGGATCCCAAAAGGAAGGAGAAATTAGTAGTTGTTGGTGAAGAAAATAAGCGGTAGGATGTGGAAAGTAAAGATGATGAGGATGATAGAGGACTTATCATCGTGGTAACTATATGGAAGATCCAATTGCTGATATTATGATGGATTCAAGACTTGTCATTATGTGATACTTTTTTTAGTATAGGGACTCAAATGATGGACCTTTTCCCAATATTATATTTTTACATTTCACTCCTTATCGCTTCAACTAACCCTGTTTTACTTTTTATGTCGTATTTCTTCGAATCAGATACTCCCTCCATTTCATTTTAGATAAGCCCATATGCTTTTCAAGGAATTTAAGAGTAAAATAACAAGGAGTAGTGAATAATGCATAAAATGAAAAAGGCAGATGCTAAAGTACAAAATGTAGAAAAGAGAAGATGATAACGACAACAACATCCAAGCCTTAGTCCCAAAAGAGTTTGGGGTCGACTAACATGGATCAACATACAAAACTGGAACTAAAAGGATAAAAAGATATGATGAAATAAAAAAAGATAAATATATATATTTTTTAAAAGATATAAAAGATAAAGATAAAGATAAAGATAAAAAAGATAAGAATTAAGATGGAAAAAAAAGATAAAGATAAAAAAGAAAAAATGAGATCAATCCTTCACACATATAATCTCCCTCGACTTCACTCTCTCCATAGTCATATTCTCATCCAACCCAAGTACCATATCATTCCTTATCATAACTGTCAATGGCGCAATATGGAGAGCGCAATATGGGATACGAAGCCTCCTCACCAAAAAAAGCCCTTCTGGCAATGACTCTAATTACAGAAGTCATTAGAGCTCAGGTAAAGGATTATTATAACCTTATGATATATAATAAGTTACAAATTAAATAAAGTTAAATACAATATTATATATATAATTATGTGTGTAATTATATATAATATACATAGTATTATATTATAAATTTATATAATGTGCGACTAGTCGCCTAATTGTCGCCTGGGCGGGCGCCTTGTCGCCTAGGCGATATGGCAGTTGGCTGGCGCCACGACTCGCCTTACCGCTGTGACAAGTATGGTGAAGCTTCATATTAACACCATCGCCATGCCGTGTGCTATTAACTGACTAACCAGTCGGTCCATAATATTAATAAAAACCCTATTAAGAAGTAAATAGAGACACCAGCTCAGGTAAAGCAGAAAAAACTGTTCAACTATGTAATGATGGAGTCAGAAAGCTACACAAGAGGGGAGCAACTAAAGGGAAACAACAACACATCAGCGCCAGGATAAAGATGAGACGGATGAGATTGAAATAAAATCAAACTTAATTTCAGCTTTTGATCTACAATAAAACCTAAAGTTCTGTGATTACTAAGAACTTCATTTCTAACATTACGGCCTTACCTTTTCTCATGTGCCCCAACATAGAGAAAAACAGCCCCATGTCCACCCCAGCCATTTATAGGTGGGAAACAACAACACATCAGCGCCAGGATAAAGATGAGACGGATGAGATTGAAATAAAATCAAACTTAATATTTCAGCTTTTGATCTACAATAAAACCTAAAGTTCTGTGATTACTAAGAACTTCATTTCTTACATTACGGCCTTACCTTTTCTCATGTGCCCCAACATAGAGAAAAACAGCCCCATGTCCACTCCAGCCATTTATAGGTATTCCCTATTCTGATGTTATGCTGCCCAACACTCAACACAGTTCAAAGCAGCAATCTCTACAACACATTTCAGTGGTTCATTATGTACTTCTTATGTTAAAGAGGTATCTTTGCTTGTATTTTCAGATTTGTAGCTATGTGATTGTAGATAAGCAAGTCTCAATGAAGCAAATTGTGTGTGTATTATTGAAAAATTATATCATTTGGGAATTAAACCATTGTATTCCTCTTTGGGGAATACACCTTTGTCTTACTACTATTTGGGAAAGTATCCCAAAAAAATATAGAAACGTAATGAGTAATAAGAAACCAGGGAGAAGCACACCTTGCATCTAGGCTCTTTTAGTTCTGTAGGATTTAACAGCTTCCCACACTTTTCGCATTGATCTCCACGTGCAGAATCATAGTTACAATCAGGTGTTGGACAGTTCCCCTCTACAAGGCGATCAGCTAAAAATCTTTTGCATGTGTCACAGTAAAGCTGTATTTACAAAGTTTAAAGTGTAAAATAATATTGAATGTTAATGGCATACTGAGTAACTGAGTATGGAAATATTTAAGTGTATGCACTAAGCTTATGATTACATGGAATATAGAATAGGATATGAACTATGATTATGATGTGGAGCCAAAGAATGAAAGAACATATTAGTAGTAGAAAACTCCATACCTGCTGCATTGTATTCTCAGTAAGCCAGTTTTTCTCCAATAGCTTCTTGAAAATGGACTGACAAACCTCAGTTTGTTTGGGAGTGGATGTTCGCCCAAACTTGTCGAAGCTAATGTTAAACCATTTATAGACTTCCTTATGGATTGCGTGATATCTAATTAAAAGGGAATCATGGTAGAGGAACATATTCAGAATTAATCCAATTATTCAAACATGAACATTACTAAATACATGTAAACAGGTCTCACATGCAGAGAAATTCACTTACAAATTTATGATCATAATTTTATCATAATTATTACATAGGCTTCGTAAATTCATCTATGATATATGAAAAAATGTCAACTGCTCCCTATAACTTGTGTTCTATTATGAAAACTGCCATGTTCTTGGAACTTTGCAACTCTCCACCGATGTTCCGTACAATATTATAATTTTGTATCTATAAAGTTTAATTAAACCAAATATTAAGGTTAGCAATAGTTGCCTCTGGATGTGAAATTTTAACACAACCTATTATAATTACTCCCTTTTTCTAAAATTTTTCACTTCCTTTTACACGGTTTATAATTAATGATCAGAATAATTGTTGGATCGAACTCAAAAAACTTACAAAGGTGAGCGGAACAAATATTTAATTACGATCTACAAAGGCAAGTGGAACAGCTAAAGCCTATGAAGTACTTCCACTGTCTCAAGTTGTGGAACGCTTGCGGATGCAATGTTGTGGTTGTGGTCAGCAGTGCAACCACAATTGCTGTGTGTTTTGAATTCTCCCTTAAAATCACAACGTAAGAGCAACGAAGCCATATCACGATCACAGCAGGCCGCAATACTATTTTCAGCTCTTTTTAAATCATTATTACTATTATTATTGTTATTGCTATTATTGTTATATCTTTAGTTTATCATGTTTTCTTTTGAAGGGAAGACCAATACAGTATTTCTAAGTCGTGATAATATAAAACCTTTTGGACTTGATGTGTGCAAGGTTCTTTTTAATTATTCACTTTTAATAGTATCAATTTCATATTTGTTTGTTCATTGTTTACTTATATTTGCTTAAAAGAATTATTAATAGCACTCCTTTTGTTTTCACTTAAATCCATTATTACTCATTCAAATGAATGGATTCATATACAACATCATTAATACTCCGTAGTATATTTACATAACACTAAAAAATTAATTCTTTTCTTATTTTGAGCAAGTATAAAATTTAATTCAGGCTGAATCAGTCGCATTACGCATCACAGCCGCACCTACAATTTAGAACCATGAGTATATCTTTTGAAGTGCTATGAAAATCATAAAACCAAGCTGCATAGAGAGCTAGAAATTAAATTGGGATGTGGACATTCTTATTAGCAAATATTAAAACAAAACAATATAACAGCCTTACTTGTCGCAAATTTCTTGGGGAGTAGAGTTCTCTTCCATGGCTTTTGTCTCGGTGGCTGTCCCATACTCATCCGTTCCACATATGTATATCGCATTGTATCCTCTGAGTCTACAATACCGAGCAAAAACATCCGCACTCAACACACCTAGCATCATCACTATACCCCTCAGTAAAACGTAGAGCAGTTCGATTTCAGTGAATACTCGCAAAAGATTCGAGGTGAAACATAATTAAATTGATAATACATGCACGCATTAACAACAATTGAAAGAGAGAGAATAGATCGAATGTGTTACAGCCGATGATGTTGCCGAGATGGGGTACGTTGTTCACGTAAGGCAGGGCACTGGTAATTAGGATATTTCTTTTTCCTGGTATTGGTAGTTTGGGGGCTTCCGTGTTAACCTCAGCCATCTCAGAGACCTTAGTAGCACCCTTCAGGTGTATGTAAACGTAATAGAGGAGAAAACTGATAAGGAGACCGGGGGTGGGGGTGGCGGTGGCGGCGGCGGCACAGGAGAGTGACCGAGGATACGGAGGGGAAAGAAATGAAGAACAGCAAAGAATTGAGGAAAATGACTAGTCTACTGATGTTAGGACTAAGGTGTTCGGTATGGCATACGAGGTAGTTTATCTTTCCTTTTTTTTGCTATGGCTCTCTTTTTTTGCTGTGGCTCTCAATTGTCATTTTTCATTCGTAAACAATTTGTGCTTTTAATTAATTTTCTTTTGTCGGTAGAAACCTTAATCACATAATTTTTACTTTATTAATCCTCATACTGCTCAAACTTGGTCAAGTTTAAAGGAATGAAGAGAGTATTACATCTTTGGAAATTCTGGTATGTCGTACTTTGGTTCAGTAAAGGTATGGTATTAGTAAATTGTTATGCATGTCTCTAAGTACAACAAGTAATCATAAACTAATGAAATATACATAACAAGTGTTATTAACAACATACTAAAAGCATTATTAAAAAATTGCAAAATACAAGTAATAACCTATTGAGTCGGGAAGCAAGTTGCGATAGAGTGAACGGGCCTAGGTTTAGGTAGTGTTTGAACAATTTTCGTAGAGGTGGTAGAGAATGGCGGTGAGGCTTGACTGTCAGACAGTTTTACTAGGCGATTCAACCAGGACTTCATTTTGCATCTGGTATTTGACAGGCTGGATAGAAGAGGGAGCAGACTCTTTGGACCATAGTGTGGATGAATAAGGGAGGGTGCGACTGACGGTGTTGTATTCTTTCGGGCCTTTCTGAGGGCAGAGGATGGTGGCGAATGTCAGGAACAATTCGAGGTGGAGCAGTTGGCCCAGGCATATGGCAACATGGAGATGGATGATGAAGATGATACTATTTTAGTGGAAGCCTCAGCTTCGGGAGCAGGAGATGGGAGCCTAACGTTTGTTGGGACCATTACATTGGAAAAGTTGGTACGCTTCACTACTTTTTCATGATATTATGGTTTCCGTTTGGAGACTGGTTAAAGGTATTACTATCACACAATTTGAAATAGAAATTATATGTTTCAGTTTTACAATGTGAATGATATGATGCATATTTTGGAGGATGGTCCTTGGATTTTATCAAAATCTTATTGTTATGGCTAAGCTCGGGGAAGGGGATTTGCATATGGTGGTAACCCTGAACAGGGCTAGTTTTGGATCCTAGTTTATGATATCCCAGTAGGTTATTTTTCATTGGAAAATGTTGTCAAAATTGAAAACATTGTGGGTAGGTTCATAAGAGTTGATGAGCATAAATTTTCGATTAAAAGGAATTATTTCTACAAAAAGAGGAAGGAGCTAGCTTTCGTCTCACCTTTCGTTATGAAAAACTGCTCAGTTTTTGTTTCTTGTGTGGCATCATTAGGCACGCAGGAAACTACTGCCCTCATAATCCCGAGGGGTGTGTAAAGGGAGAAGATAAACCATTTGGGCCGTGGATAAGGGCCATTAAGAGGGTGTCTAGGCCGGAGATAACAAGTGACTTGTACCGGTCGACAAGAATCTGTCTCAGGGCAAAGAGGGAACATGGGATGGACCAAGTGTTGGTAGTCAGAATAATTTGACAAATGGGGCATCTCAGAAGCAGGCAGATGACAAGACTGAGCAAAAGCATAGGAGAATCAACCAAGAGGAGGAGGAGAAGCCCGCTGGTTATAACATGGAAGTGGAGTTGCAGGGGATAAAAAACGGGAAGGAGGCGAGTTGCAGCTCTACAACTCGCCCGACTCAATACTGACAAGCTTATTGGAGTTTCAGAATAAAGATGGAACAGATAATCTTCAACTCTTCATCGAACACTTGCTAGATACATTTTTGCTAGCTTTTTTCGTATTGTTGTTGTTAACTTTGGGGATGGTAGGTTGAATTTGGTTTTCATTCTGGTATGTAGTAGTTTTTCAGGAAGCAATCAAGCTGTATTGGCCGATAGTAGCTTCGAATCTCTCGTATCTTCAACGAATAGTCTCGCTCATTTTTGGGTGGTCTATTCTATGTTTGATCAGGGAGTGAGACAGCATGTTGACTTGAGGAAGGTGAGAAAGCGGGGATGGTCTGTGGGTGTTGATGTACTGATGTTGATTATAATATTATTTAAGCTTTCTTCTCTCTAAAAAAACTATCGATGTCATATTCAATATTGAACGATAATTATTACTACGTATAATTGAATTTACCCGACCCATCCAATAATAGTACATAGGCCGACTAGTTATAGTTACCATATCCGATAGTGATAATAACTACTACAACCACCGCCAACCACCAAAGCTGCCATCGGTGACCCATCGCCGCACCTCACCCCAAACTGCAGCCCGCTGCCGCCGCCTCAATCCATCCTAACAATATTCCAACAACCACCATCATCAACCACCCCTTCCTCAAACTCTTCCCCAAGAACCGTTCGATATCAGATGTGTAGAATCCCAAAAATCCAATTGATTCTCCCCGCAACCAAATCAGGCGTAATTGGTTGCCAAATTTGAGTTCATTGTTGCTTGAAGTCGAAGCTCGTCGCCAGATCCATGAAACCCGTAGCCATGGGTGAGAAGAGAGAATGTGCAACGCCAACGTAACAAATGCGACGCGGCGGAGCACGTGAACTATTGTGGTGGGATCTAAGGAGCATGGAGACGACGATGTCTCTCACAAGCGGTGGTGGTGAGGGAATGCGCAACAGAGCAGCAATGGCAGTGACAGGTGCACGACGAAGGCAGCGACGTATCAACAATGCACCAGCAAAGGTGACGGGATAAGGGGGTAGCAGGAGAGTAACAGCGGCGGCTCTCCTATTTGTCTGACCAGGAGGGTAAGTGGACTTTGAATGGAGCTTGGACGGCTTGATGGGCAACTGCAAACTTCCTACTAGAAGCAAAGACGTAGCCAAAGAAAGTTTAATGGTATTCCAGACTATTGACTATGAATGGATCACTTTTTGTCTTTTTTCCGGTTAGGTCCTATATTTATTCAATTAAAATTCACATGTATTATTTAGGTATAATTGATAACATTATTTCATAATATAAAGATCATAATCATATTTCAAATGAATGATTTGCTTACTATTCAAAATATTAGAAGTGTTAGCTACAGTAGCAAGTGTTTTATGAATTATGACATTCCTTTGAAATATTATAATTATTATTTCCAATTGTTGTTTCCTTTTATTAATTAATGTTGTAATGTTGTCTGCAGGATATTAGAACCTTTAGTTTCCATTTATCTTCACATCATCACATGCATTGGGCGGGAGATCAGAGTTAAATGGTGTTGCAACTTTGCTACTTTGTAATATATAAAGCTAATAATAATAATAACAAGAAAAATATAATATTAATAATAATAATAACAAGAATAATATAATATTAATAATAATTCACCAGTTTGACATACACCACTTTCTATTACAAAGCTTTAGCTAATATCACACCAGGTAAAGTCCATATCGTTGACTGTTGTTCAAGTATTTGCTTTCGTAGCAGTCAACGGTCTCATTGAATGAGCTCCATTCTCAAAGGGTTAACATCTGAAAAAGATGCTCATTTGAAACCTGCCACGACCCAGGAAAGCTGATTTTTTCCCAGTCCATAGTCTGCAAAACTAGATCCTTGAAATTCAGTCTTTCTAGTGATTCATAAAAAAGGAAGTATTAAGGAATTCATTCAATCCTTTGAAGGAGAACCAGAACACAAAAACAGCAATGTTCTACGTTAGCCATGCTGTTTTGTTGTACATCAACAGATGAGAAGCTTACCGAGTGGAATCATTCATCTATCCAAGATACTTTAGCAACACACCATCATTACCCAGTACAAAACCTTGTTTTTCGTTGATAAACCTGCAATACAGGACCTGATGTAATTCTTGAACATGTATTTACTCAAGAAGATACCCGTTTAAGTTTTTCATCAGCCGTCAAATAGGAAATCAGTGCACCTCTTTAAAAAAAAAAGATAAATGAAAAAGAACGAAACTCGAAGAGGCTCTAAATCAGCAACATCAAATAGAGTGCTGCAAACAGGGACCTTACAAGGCTTTGCGACTTTTATTCAAAGAAGTAGCTTTTAAAACCAATATGAATTTAAAATTTTGTGTCCTACTATTATACTAAAATTCAAAAGGTGTTAAAATTAGGTCAAGGCTTGCTAAAATACACCCCTTACTTGACTGAATAAAGATTAGCAGCAATATTATCGGCAGCTTTGTCCCGAATCCATGTCTTCCCACTGTTTGTGGTTTTCAACAAAATCCCACTCCCACCAGCTGCCCAAGCCTTGTCCTGTAAAAGTCAAATTTAAAGCTGTCCAGGTCTACATTGAACAAAAAGGAATCTCTGAACGAAGATAACAAGGAAACTAGATATTTTTTGTTTACATTTCTTCTTCCATTTGTTTTTCCCTTTTTTCTTTAAAACATTTTCTGATATATATTAGAACAATCATCTCAAATCTAATTAACACCCAGCCGTATGCCATTTAAGAAGAGATACAGTTAGTAAAATAGCAGACTTCATATATACATCACTGATATTACCTGTGAACGATAGCCAACATCAAGAATGCCAAAACCACGGCTCTGCACAGGTATTTCTTCAAACTCCTCCGTTAACTAGAAAGAAAAGATGCCTGAGGCTAAATGAAGGATGACAGAGAATTGGACAGATCAACCCTACTTCACATCAAGATTTTGAGCAAGATGGAAACATTAGTTTCCCAATAGCAAGACCATTGAAACATAAGGGGATAATTGTGGTTACTCTTCATACTGAGAAAAGGGGGACCAGGGTTGTATTTTTCTTTAAATATCTTAGGTACTTCAGTACTTGGCCTTGAAATCATGTCGAGTATTAAATGACTACATTTATTGGTATGACTTTTCTTACTTAAAAATTCTAAATACAGTTGCCATGCATATATATAGAGAACTAATAATCCTAATATGAAACCTAAAACTTAAACCTAAACCATAAGAAGTCTAGAAACAGGATTACTATTTTGCCATAGTTAAAATTTGTATTATATACTTCACGGTTTAACCATTTATAGTAGTTTTATTGTTTATGTGAGTCTGTGATCTTTAGTTACATTGTGTGCATTGAACAGTGGCCAACTAAAGTGGGGGCGGGGGGGGGGAGGTATGATGGTTATAGGCCATGTATGACCAGAA